GCTCCCGGCCTCCGGGCTGACCCCAAGCATCCTTTATCCTTCGTTGCACCACTCCCCTCTAGGGATATTCCAACCCAGGAGCTTTCTATCCCGCTCCTTTCTCCCAACCCTTAATTTTCTTAATGGAGTTAGGCTGGGGATGGCGACGGTGATGTCTGCCAAGAGAGGAAAGCGGGAGCTTTTAATGCTCCCGGCCTCGTTGCACTGGGTGAGCAGGGCAAAAAGCTGGATTTCACATCTCCCATTAGCTCCGCATCCCAGCGCTGACCCCTGAGCAGCTCGTATTAATCATCCTTAGGCTCGTTAGGGAAGGGAGCTAACGAGCATCCCTCTCCTAAGATGCAGAGCTGCTTCTTCCCCTGGCTTTTCCCAAGCACAAACCTTACGTGAGGTGCTGGCTGTGACGGGCACAGCTTTGAAGGCATCACCCCAAAAATGAGCTCTGCGCCTGTCTCCCCCCTCCCCATGTTGGGGATGCTGCGGTGGGGCTGGCAATGTGGGCTCTGGGGGGATTTGGGGGTCCCACAGACACCCCCCCTGCCCAACATTGGAGTGACTGAAAAGGGGAAACTGCAGCCAGGGAGTCCCCATCCTGCCCCAAATTGAGGGCAGAGCCCCAAAATATCCCCCAGCGCCTCCAAACCCCTCTGACGAGCTTCGAGTCTGCCATAAAATAAAAGACAACACCACCCCCCCACCCCAAACCCCCCTTTTCCAGCTCCCTTATGTAAGAGCTGGACGGAGGGGGGCAGGGAGGCCGGGGGGACGCTGCAGCCCCATGCCTGATCTTCTTTGGCATGTGTGTGTGTCCTCCCCATTTCTGCAGGTTTGAAGACGTGCGTGAGCAGTGGGAACAGCAGCGACAGAACCCCGGCGGCGTCCCCGGGCGAGAAGCACCTCCACGTGCCCTCCATCATCGTCACGCCGCCCACGCCCACGGGGACCTCCCTGTCCCGCGAAGCTCGGCGGGCAGGGGGGACACCACCCTGCTGCCAGTGCTGAGCGTGGGGACCGGGGTGGGGGGACACGGGACCGACAGGATCCATCCCCGCTCTGCCAGGATGGAGCTGCAGCCACCGGGATGCGAATCGGCTGGATTCAGCACCCCGGAGACACACACGGCACCCACCACACGGGTGGGTTTGGACACCGGTGACTGGTTTTGCTCTTTTTTCCTAAAAACACTGGGGCGGCACGGCGCAGCTCCTTCCCGGTGAATAAAGCCCACGGGGCTCCTCACCCCCCGGGTTTGGCACCCACCGCCTGCCCCGGGCTGTGTCGGCGGAGCGGTGGGTGGGCTGTCCCCCCAAAAACACCCCAAAGCTGACCCTGCGCCTGATGGGGGGGCCGAAAGCGGGGTACACCCCACCAGCCCTCACCTCTCTGCTCGGATTGAAGAAGCTGGTGGCAAACGGCACCAGAAAAATGAA